TATTTATTTTTTTAATGAATAATTGCTCTACAGAAATCCTGACTTTATCAAAATACAATGCTGTTGCTAGAAGCACCTTCATCTACATAAGCTTTCCAACTTACTGAAAATACTTCAGTTTTCAAATATATTGAAACCTAGGTAAAAGCAATCACAACGAAAATGTTGAATTGTTAAAATATGGCATTTCCCTGTCATAATAGCCATCCTCAATTTATTCTTTATTTTGAAAACAAAGTTAGTTATTAGCCTGTGTCATTTATTAAAGTTAGACTAACCATTGCAAATTGTCAGAAGTTCCTACAAACCTTTCTATACAAGACAAAGACACAGCACTTTCTTGCAAACCAAAGCCATTTACTTTGTCAAAGTTGATTTACTCATTAACATGAATAACTCCCTGCAGATAAAAAATGAGTGCCAATTTTCTACTTCTCAAAATTTCTCTAGGCCTACCAAATTAGAATCTGCTACATGAGAATACACAGGACAAGTCAGATATGTAACAATCTCAAGATCCTACTAAGTTACATAGTTTCAGCTCCCTTTTAAATGCAAAACAGTACAGACCTGCTGGCTAACAAGCTAACTTTTTTTTTATTCTGTTTCAGTAACCAGGCAACAGACAACTGTCCAACTGAGAATTATCTCTCTGAACAGCTGGCAATCAACACTTGGGAGGTTTTGGTGGCTGGTCTCTTTTTTATAAACTAGTACAAAGATCAGTGATTACTTTAAAAATCTATACAGCTCTAGATTCCACCTCTGAAATCTCTACTCACTATTTAATAATTTCCTCAGTCCCATTATCCTTTAATTACTCATATAAATGTTTACAACAGAATCTGAAAATCTTAGATATATACTTATGTAGCATCTAATTAGCTAATGTCAACACTTCAGGAAAAAAAAAAAAAGCAGAATCAAGGAAAAAAAAATGAAATGCATTTATTGATGTATGACAAAGCCCCACAAGGAAGCAGAACAACAAACAGCTAATAACTAAAGTCATTCTTGCTTCTAACTCCATTACTCTTTTCCACAGCTGAAAAAGCAATATTTCACTTCAACATTATTTCAAGTGCTGATTTTCAAAACATTTCTTTCCTTACTAGATTTTTTTTATTTTTAAGTGTTATAAATTAACATGATAAACTCTATTTCTATAAAGGAAATAATAATAATAGAGAGCCAAGCTAGATATATTACACCTTTCTCCTTCCTAGTAGTTTATAGGAGTAATGATGCTATAGGATTATTAATTAATTATAAATTCCTGTAACTTAATGTGTTACTTATACATTCAATGTTTTTGAAAGGTCTTTAAGAGTCAGAATAAGAGCATTTTCAGAAGGGCACTGGTGCAAAGATTAGCTAGACTATTTCCCATAACACATGAATGATTTTAAAAAATGATATTTAAACAGAAAACATCTAAAAATAGAAGTCCCTTGGTAAAAGCACAAAATAGCCACACAATATTTCATACACTGTCTACATGAGATGGGAGAGGAAACTTGCACCTTTTATATTCTCCAAACATTTATATAACTACTAACTAGAAATCTGCTATAAGAACAACACATCTAATATATTTCTAAAACCAGTAAAACCTTATCTCCATTTAATTTTGCTTTTATTAATCTCAGCTCTTAATATTATCTAATTTAAGTACACCTATGACATCATATTCCAATAAACTGAAAAACACTGACCAAGTTCAAATTCACTCAAGCACCAAGTTCAGATCAGGCAAGATCCTGTTGCAAGATAAACAACATGATGTGATGTAACAATTTTGTGCATGTGTGTGCATTTGTGAAAGACCAGAGCGGGAATGCAGAGAGGGAGGGAGAGAGTCTGTGCACGAGGAGAGAGAGAGACAGAGTGTACAGCAGCATTTGCAAGGGAGAAATATACATGGTCTGAGTGGCTTTGAGTCCCGTGCTCACTAAAATGCAGAATGAGAAACACATAAGCAATGACAGCTTCAGACAACAGAAATAATCTTTCTTCTATTATTCAAAAAAATCATACGTTATAATAGCTTCACAGAAGAGCCACTTTCTTTATCAAGTTAGCTAAGTCTGTATTCAATTTTTAAACCAAAACCTAGTAGTAAATACACACTGTACTTTCTATGCAGAAGGATCAGTACAATCTAGTTTAAAAGTAGGGCATATTATGCCCTTTTCATTTTATTTCTGCTAGTCTTGGGGGACATGCCTGAACAGAAAAGAATCAGAATATCCAAAGTCAAATTGCAGGAGTCCAGACAACAAGAAAAAGTCAGCGGGTAACCTGAAAAGAGAACAATAAATTGCGTACTCAAAAATAAAACTGTAGTGGACAGTAATATATTTGTATACTGCTTCCTATCTTGTAAACTAAAATGTTTAATGCAAAGCTGTTTTTTCCTTCAATTTCTTGTAATTAGAGCTGCCATATAATTCTTCAGTAATTATGTCACCTTTTGACGCACAAAAATAATTCCAACAGAAATCAGTCTGCATACTGAAGTCCTATATCACAGAGGGAAAAGAAAAAAACACTATTAGATCATAGGAACTACTCGTAACTTCTGTATTACAAGCACCTTCCTCCTTTCCAAACAGGATCTTACTCACTTTTCTAAAACTTTTCGGAAATACAGAAAACTTTTATAGAAGCTTCAATGACAGAACATTCCACAGTGAAACATACATTAAACATATTTGTAATCACAAGCATCAGAGGTAAGGACTAAGCAACATCTATTAGGAAAACAGTAATTGTTTAAAAAACTTCATAAGAAAAATTAATCATAACTTTATCTTAGCTCTTTCACAAGGTTTGTATTCCCTATGTTATATGAGCAAGAGAGTCTGGAAGAAACCCAAAAGCCAACAGCTCAAGGAATGACAGGACCTCTGAAAATTCCATGGGCTGGTGGTCAGACGCAAACAGAAATACTAACAAGAGCTAGCCACGCTGGAATCCATTTCCCATCCCTGTTCCATGCTTTAGCAGCTATCAGTCACCAGCTTCCTTAAAGCACTCACTTTCCCTATGGCACAATGTGGCTGCAAATTCAAGACAGACTGTATAAAGTCAAACTGGAACTTCATTTACACCTGTCGCTGTGAAAATATTTGAGTGGCCCTGTCCTGGTTATTATTGCTTCTGATTTTAAGAGAGAACATTTATGCCGCAAATGTTTTTCTCATGTCTTTCTAGCTTGAGATTTTTTTTTTTTGAAAGGTTCATCTGTTACTACTACTGCATCTTTACAGTTTCCTACACAAGGAAAAAAAGAAATTCTGATTTAATCAGAAAATAGAGGAACTATACTAGAGCACTGAACAAAAGATCTAATCTTTGGAGCGTCCTTTCCAAGTGAGTGTAAATAAACTGTAGTAAAATGAAAAGGCTCATAATTTGGTATTTGGAATATTCTTCATAAACACCAATTTTCTGTAACATCCTTGCATATCTGATAACCCCTCATGTATAATGCAGAAAATCTATTTCATTTTCATCTATTGACAGCGAATTTAATTTACTATTGCAGCTCTTTACCCAGATTATGTTATTAATTCTGCAATCAGGCTCTTTAGAATGCTTTATCTCTTTCAAGAGTTTTCACAATTCTACATTGATTTTTTTTTATCCTAACACACCTTTCAAAATAAAGGATAATGTTTTTCCTACCTTTCCAAAAAAAGGGAAAAAAAAAGCTTCAAAAGCAACAAGCACCAGTTCATAAATTGTAACTTGCAACAGAAAAAAAACAAATCTACATTCAACATTTCAATCTCTGATTTTTCAGTATTATAAAATACATTCATTAAGGAGATGTACAACAGGTGCATTAGAATTTCCACATCAACAATCATATTTGTAAATAACCAAAATATCTCTGTTAATAAAAAGTTACCCCCTTCTGCCTGACAGTAAAGTCAAAGGACACGAAAGCTCAATGCTCCAACGTTAGTGTTCTGTTTACACCCATACCAACTGCTTTTGCTATTTTGTAGAATTCAGTCTCGTTAAAACAGAGTGAAGGCAAAGCAGCTACTATTTTCCAAAAGAAAAAAGTCAGCAACAGCTAGTCAACTCAATTCCAAACCACCAGTTACTCTTCAAAAATAACAAAATCAAAACACAAAAGTGTTAGCTATGTTATTTTGCATCAGTTTTTAGAAAGTCCTTTAGAGCAAAGTTCAATTACAGAATGCTAATTTGATCATCTTGAGGAAAAAATCCCCAATTATTCAACTGCAGAAGCTAAAATCTTGTCTATAATTATATAAGACTAACTCTTCAGAAATCTTATAAAGGAGGAATGCTAATTCAGGTATTTATTACTGTTATATTCAATTATCATAAACTTCTCATGTGCACTAATACAGCTAATATAAAATGCTAATTTTTTAATTCATCCAAAGTATTTCAGTTTTATAATGGATTTTTCTTCCTCCATCATGATAAACATAATATAAAGAATATCTAAAGAACAGCACTTGTCCTCTTTACTTCACTCCAGAGCCAATGAACAAAGCAGTGAAGCAGAAAGAAGGTACATAATGGATTTAAAGTAAATGGCCCATTCTTTACAAGGCAGTCTCTCATTTTTACTCATTCTAGCTTAATTGTCATTATAACGTCTGGAAACTTCAAAGGAACAATTATCTTTACGCCACCTGTCACATTGGTTCCTTACAGCTGGATTTTTTTCTTAATAAAAAATAAAGCAGTCAATGTTAATGAAAATAATATTTTGTAGAAATACCGTAAATGACTTAAAACTTATTTCAAGCAGTTAGTATCCAGTTCAGTCCATTCCATAAGTTAAAACAGACAGAATATTCATATTCACAATTGCACTTTGAAACATACTTTTCGGAGACAATGCTTCCTGCTGCACTGGAAGCTTGACCATCAATATATCAAACACACTGAAATTTACATACATGCCTGAGAATTTAAAAATAAAAGAATTGGCTAATTTTTGCACCTACCTGGATAAAAATCTTTGGATTTAGACAGCTTGATGGTGGCCCCAGTCTCTTTCTGCAACTGAACAATTGTCTGTCCTCCCTTCCCAATTATAGATCCAGCAGCATAACTAGGTATGAGGACCTTTAGAAAATACTGGCCATCCTCTGAAAAATTGAGATATGCATGGTTAATATGGCTTATAAGTTGTCATTTTTCCTCCCCAGACCCACAAATAAACAAAAGGTTACATCTTTAAACTCCTCCACTAATTCATGCATTTATATCTAACCAGTTGCGTCATTATACAAGACATGTTTAGCCTATGCCTTTGACAGTTTAAAATATCTACTTTTATTCTAAGCAAGGAACCCACAGAGGTTCCTTAATGCAGTTAAACAATAATATTGCAATTAAATTTCAAAGGTAGATTTTTTTTTTCTTTTGCAATGGTAACCACAGCATGCAGAAAAGATCAGACCCCTTTAAAAAAACTAAAGCCCTGCATGAAAACGTGGTTAGTGACAACTACAACCTTGCTTGGAAATACTGCAAAAGAAATTACAAAACCAGGAAAGAACGAATTGTAAATTCTAATGGGCTATTTGTTTGTCATTAGCAAACACATGAGAACAGCAATTAGCTATTGCTTGCATTCTTCTTAAGTGAGCAAAACGACTACTCTGCTACCAAATAACCCACCCAAAATGTGGGGTTTTATTCCAAGCATTTCAGCCACTGCCAAGAAAACAACTCAACATAGTGAGGATGGAATCACTTGCCTAAGTAATCCTCATGTATTCCTTTAGCACTTCTTAAGTGACAATGATCTCTTTTAAGCTCATTAATTAAAGGACACTAAGAAGAATTTTTCCCAACTGATCAAAAGCCTAAGTCACTTATTTTAAATACACTTAAAAGGTGACGAGATAGACAATGCCAGTCCTCTACCCACCACTAGCACTAAAGCATACCATCAAAACAGGAAAAAAATATATAGAATGAACGGAGGGGAGAAAGAAAAACGGATCCCGGTCTGATTTGGAAACTGCAAAATTTTCAGTACCCTCATGCAACTGCTAAATCCAGCTATACTCAAGTCTGAGGACCTTTCCATAACTGTCTCTGAAGAAGTGCAAGGCAACAGGGATACGCTGGCTCCCCAGACTTGTGCTCTCCCCAGCAATTATGGCAACGTCCCATTGGCACAGATATCAAAATATCAAGAAACCTGTTCCATAAAGTTGTTTCTTTGGGTATTTTTTTTACTCCTAAGCAGAAGAAATTATCTGAGTTCACAATACTTCTCTTCTGAGACTATAAAGCGTCTCAGTTAGTGCCTGTGTGTGACAGTGGTGCCCACCCGTACTACCATAGCTGGGGAACCATGCACTATGTATAGCCAGACCACTGCTCTCAACATTGGGCAAATAAATTCACCTCTGCCTCGGTGCATTGTTATGACGACTCCAGCGCAAACGGATAAAGGAGATGCTGGTCCCGTTATAACTCATCTCCTCCAGGAACAGCAGGATGTTAACTAGCGAGTCCCCGTAGCCGAGGGGCGACTCCCCCCGCCACCAGCCAGCCCTCGCCCCCGGCTCGGCACGGCAAACACACGCCGTGTACGCGCTGACAATGGAAGTGAGGCCAAGGAGGAGGAAAACGCACGGCAAGGCTGAAATTCAACTTGCGACCCCGAGGATGTGGAAGGAGGGAAGAGCGTTTGCCGTCTCTTTCCAGCTGCCATTTATTGTCGCCCATCCTTAAACGGGCGAGGGAGATAGCTGGGCTGCGGGAGCCCCTTGTGCTCCCTCCTCGCCTCCGTAGGGTCACGGCTGTGCAGCCCCAGCGTGGATATTAAATAAAAAGACTGGTAGATGCTGAAAACCGACGCCATTTTGATGAATGATAACATTAGAGAAATGGGAATCTTTGGGCGGGGGGGGGGGGGGGGGGGGGGGGGTTGGAAGAGGCAGGCAAGCAGGTAGGGAAGCGGAGAGGTGGGTGGGTAGGGCGGGGGGGGTGGGGGTGGGAGGGAGGTGACAGAGGATATACCCACCGCCCGTGTTGGTCCTCTTGGTGCTGCCGGCTTCAGGGGGGGCTTCAAGCGGTCTTTTCCGGGAGTCCGGCGGGTCCAGGTCTATGGGAACCCCGGTGTGGGTCCCGTTCTGCTGGATGGGAGCTGCCGCCATCATGTTTGCTGCTGCTCGGAGGAGAATTGTCTCTTCCCTTCTCTGGTGGGGGGGCAGGGAGGGAAGGGGGGAGGAGGAGGAGGAGGAGGAGAAGGAAAGGGGTGGAGGAGGAGGAGGAGGGGAGGGGGCTTGTCCCGTTCTCTTGTCCTTTTCGAAAATGTAGAGCTAAGATCGGGATTGTCGAGGATGCTGCGCGCCTTGTTTATCTGGCACCCGGGGGGAGGGAAGGGAAAGGAGGGAGGGAAGCGGGCAGGACTGGACTGGAGGAGCAGCTGCAGTGCAGTGTCAGGAGATGAGGAGAAGGGAGACAGGGGAACGAGGGGGGCGAGAGAGGGAAAAGAAAGGGGGAGAGGAGGGGAAAGAATGAAAAGAGTGAGACAGGAGGAGGAGAGGACAGAGTGAGTGGGAGAGGAGAGGAGGGGAGAGAGTGAGTGGGAGAGGAGGGGAGAGAGAACGAGTGAGACAGAATCGGTGGGAAGGGAGGGAGGGAAGAAGGGAGGGGGAGAAGGAGGGAGCGAGCGGTGTAAATGGTGGGCGAGGGAGAGAGTGGGAGATGATTCACGCTGTTTCTGAGCCCCCTTCCGCCCCTGCCCGCCCTAGTGCCGCGCCTGACGCTGCGGCTCAGCTGCCCGCCGCTGCCGGGCTCCCGTGCCCTCCCTCGCTGTCGGGCTCGTGTGCACGGGGGTGGAGAGGGGGATCGCTGCCGGGGTGGCGCGGCGCTGCTCGGCTCTAGCCCCGGCACCGCGGGCGCCTGGCTGGGGGCTGGGGCCGCCACCTTCAGCTGCACCGCAGAAACCCTAAAGGCAGGATAGGTCAGAACCATGGGAGGGGGGCACAAGGACGGGGGTGTACGAGAGTGGGGGGATAGGGATGATGGGTGGGGGGGATGATAAAACAGAAGGGCGGGGTTTCAATCGGAGACAAGCGGGAGACGAGGCCAATCGGAACAAAAGAGAGAGAGGCTGGGATTGAAGCGTCTCGCCAATGCCGGCCGCCGCTGGCAGAGCCGTTGAGGGGAGGCGGGGGCGGTTTAACCTCCGCGGCGGGGGCGGCGGCGGGGCGGTGTGCGCGGGGGCCGGCTGCCGCCCCGGGAGGGTCCCCGCCGTGATGCGGCGTCACCTGGGTTACGCGCTGCGCCTCACGGGCCCGCAGCTGCGTGGGAGGAGGGCTGAGATCGCCCGAGGAGGCGGTGGGATAGCGGGGACATGTCCTCGCCGAGGCTGGCTGCACCACTCGCGCGGCGCGGCGCGGCGCGGCCGGGCCCTTCCTCCCTCCGTCCGCGCTCGGTCCCCGCCGGCCGCCGCGGGCAGGGGCAGCGCTGCCGCTCCGCGCCGGAGCCGTGGACGCGCCGGGCTGCATCGCGCAGGCTTGTAAAGAAATTAATAAAGATATTATTGTTACATTGTGACAGCCGGTCTAGCCAGAGCCGTGCGACACAAAGCCGCGTTGCTTACCTAAATATTTCGTAGAGAATTTAAAGATATTTCACTGCGGTGAAGGTTATTTCTGCTTACAAATCTCAAATTATTCAGGTGGAATATTAAAACGTTGTTAGATTCGGGGGGATGGGGAGGCATGGCTCAGGGAATTGTCTGTGCACCAGGAAAGCGTTTTTAGTATTTGACTCTGCTGTTTATTGACTCTTTTCCTTTGAAAAAAAGTCTCAAACTGCTGTAACTGTGACGGTAGTGGTCACTACTGGAGCATCAATGCCATACAAAGTTTAGGGACGTGTGTTTATTGCGTTACAACACGCTCTGTGCTAAATTCGTATTGATGTGTGTGTGTGCGCGGCATGGCTGCTGACTCGATTCCTCCTAATACACGAGCTTAAAACCTGGCTGTTAGTGGATGAAATCCAATTTCCATTCTAAGCTTCCTGGGAGACAGCCTTAGTTTCAGTAATCACTTACCATTAATACTGCCCCAAACAATTTTTAATACTTAAAATACACACATCATATATAATATATAGCACATCACCTCTGCTGATAAATTACAAGTCAGATAGGTAATGCATTATTGGATATTAAACCGTGCACATGCTAACATCTAAACAGGCTTCTGCCCAAATGCATTCACAAATTAAGAACTCAATCCAGCGCTATACATAGGAAACTTCCAATTACTTCTTTGGGAATTGTGTCCCAGGAATGTGATATGTATCCTTCTTGCCGGCAGATGAAATATATGCAGCAGATTCAGTAAAAATTTGATAGCATATATGGTCAGAAAAATGATTATATAAAAATGGAACTTTCTTAGTCATCATATACCCCTTGTATCTAAGATACTCTGACTCATAATTGCTTAGTTTACTGACTGAAATAAAATTCTAGACTTCTGTTACCTTGGCTGTTGCTGACACAATTATGGTACAGCAAACTGGGGACTGGTTCTAGCTCTTCCATTTTCTTTACTAAGTTACAGCCGAAGAATTTTATTAGTATTTGAGCCAGAAGGAGCATGGCATGGCTTGTAAATCCCTGGTCCAGTTTGTAGGGTCATCAGTCCTAAGAGGCCTCTTTTTATTTGTAAACCAAGCAAATGTCTTGCAGAAACTTTTGAAGACAAAAATAAAAACCACGATGTTTGAATTAAGCCATCTTGAGTCAATTTCCGCAGTGGAACTGGATAAATTATAACACTGCTCTCTTTATCTCACTGTCTATGTCCCATTCATCTGTAGCAACACTGAAACAAACAATTCTCTGGTTTTTAGACCACATCTGTTTTACTGTGCCCCCTGCACCAATTTTAATTATGTGACAGATCTGATTGGATTCAGCACCTGCAAGTCCTCCCTTTGGGATCTCCAATTAGCTTATAAAGCATTTGCTTGATTGCATTCTTGAAACAAAAGTATTGTTTCATCATAACAACAGAAATATTAAAGTGTAGAATAAAAAAAGCTTTTAATGTGATGAGCGTCTATGTTGTTTGTGTATCTAGCTTCCATAAGCTTAGAGGAAAAAGTGGTAATCCTGAAACCTAATTTCCTCAGACTCAGCAGATGTCTGTCCTGTGTTAGCCTGTTTCTTTACTGACAGCTGTTTCACAAGTGCCTCCCCTCCTCTCTACAGAATGCCTTTTGTCTAATGATTTCCCTCTACATTATGTCCCATCCCACTTAGACAAGCTTTTTTTAACTTTTCTAGTAGTTTTAGAAGGTTTTTTTATAATTTCCAGAAAGGCTTCTTTTTGAAGAAGTTAGCTTTAGCTAGGTAACTAGCCTCTCAGTTAGTTTCTTAGTAACAGTTCTACTTAAGTAAGCAGATAGCTGCAAGTAATCAACATTTCAACAAATACCGATTTAGTATTAAGGAAAGTTTCAATTATTACAGCTATACTTCAGAATATGCACTTTTTTTCTCCTTATTTAATTGTTTGGAGCAGTGATAATGAAGGTCCAGGGGGGAATATCACATTAAGTGCAGCCCTCTAGTGGCAGAGGTCACTTGGAGTTTAAAGCAAACTGGGTCTTTGTCATGGATTGGGGCATTGAAAGAAACAGCTTTTAGCAAAATGCAGGCAACTGCCCTGCATTGTTCATGGTCTGAAGCATGAGTGAAAATAGTTGTAATAGCCTGTGCTAATACCACCGTGCTCCCTCCTATTGTAATATCTGTGCAGAAAGTGCTGATGGAAAATATTAAAAAGTGTGTATCAGTAGAGTTTTCCTCTTTTTCCAAGTCTGTAATCTGTTGTTCATCTTTTCTGTTTTCAGCTAGCTCCAGGCTGGCATACCTGACCATAGGTTTTTCAAACAGCTGTGGGATCTTGTTTTCTTTCCTGTCTGTATCAGTCATATCCTACCATATAATGTATTCTGTACTTTCAGTAAGAGATTGTTCAGAGGTGACATGGTGTACAAATTCCATTTGCCAACTTTATTTCTAAAATAATTCTCAGCTGGTGGATGGTAGCATTCAAATTAATCTCTCTCACAGACATGGAACCTATGCTTAGAATTGAAAGGGATTAGGAACTGGGAGAAATTAAGCATATATATTAACAAATAGAAATCTGCATAATAATTCAGGTGACGTTTTAGTAAACATCACTTAATCTGATAAAGTCTACTTTGTGGAACAAGACGCAATCCCCTGTTTCTTTTAGAGGTGATGGATAATTCTCATCTGACTAACAGAATGAGAGTTCATTTTTCCCCTTTTGGGAAATATGACAGAGAACAGTAATCATTAGATGAAAAACGATACCTCTTAAACATCCTGGCTAGGTAAAAGAAAACACATTCTATCTTTGTCCAAAAGGACTGGCAGCTTTTCATTACTGGATGGTTGCTGTGACTCCTGTAAACTTTGGTTTCACTAAAATTATAGTTAGTGATGAACTCAGAAGATTCTTTAACATCATCTTCTGTTTATGAAACTTTTTTTCTCCAATAATCTGCCAGTTAAACTATGATTATTGTTGATTAGGTTGTTCAATTGTGGCTTGTTTAAATACTGCAGAATTTGTTCATCAGGAAATATTTTTGTAAATTCAGTGGAAATTCTCCAAGATTCCAGCAATATTAACCAGAAAAAAATCAAACCCAGCATTTAGAAAAAAAAGTTGAATGCATATTAGACAGAAAATGACCCAATTATATCTGGTTTTCCACATTTACATTGCTTTTCTTATCTGCATTATGTTATATAGATTGCTGAACTAAAAGCCAAGTGTTAATAGTCATACTCTTCACTGAAAACAACATGGACAACTGCTAAACCTTTTCAAATTGTAGATCATTGCTGTGTAGTAGCTTTCTTTTTCTGGGAAACTAAGGATGATAACTTAAAATTAGCGAAAATGTGACCATATTATTTATCATAACATGAACATATTGGCTAAAACTCTTTTTTCTGGTGGTAGAAGAAGGAATTGTTTGTAGGAAATCAATGTCCATTCTTCTCTCTCAGCAGAGAGGTCACTTGTCTCCTACTCTGACAAAGTTCATAAAAATTCACAGATTCTTTTTTTTTTTTTTTTTACTTTTCTTCAGGAATAAGGAGTTGAATTGATCTGACTCCTTCATTGCTGAATCTGTAGATCAAATTTGTAAGGGCTTACCTGGGGACTTACCCAGATCTCACTGTAGAAAACAAGATAACCTCAAGACAAGGTAATTTTCATCTCTCCCAAGGACTTGACATTGTGGATCCAGATATCTGAAACTCCAGTGGCTCAACACTTACTGAAAGAAGCTTCCCCCTGGTGATCTTTATGTACAGTAATTTAAAGATATTTCATTTCTCAGAATGAAAAAAAAAAAAAATAAAGGCTAGATTTCAATTGCCTTCCAAAAATAGTAATGTCTTCTGTTTTCTTTAGGTTGTGTTTTGGGTTTTTTGTTTTGTTTTGTTTTGTTTTTTGTTTGGTTGGATTTTTTTACTTGGTTTTGGTTGGGTTTGGGGTTGTTTTGTTTTGTTTTGTTTTGTGGTGTGTTATTTTGGTTTTGATAGAAAAATGGATATTCAGGGATTAAAACTACTATAAACTATTAGTAATTCCACTGTAATGAAAGAATGTAATATCATGTGTGAGAAATAGCAGGATCTCCTTGTGTAGCTTCGTCAGTTTACAGTGTTACTGACTGTGTACTTTTTGTTACTATCTTACAAAAGGACACGGGCAAAGCATCTCGTCTACAAACTGAATTCAGCCAGGTGAATCCAGAGGCTTCAGTGTGCATTACTTTAACAGTATAGTGAACAGTGCATTTTTCAAGGAGTCAGCATACCTATTTCCAACCTGTCATTATTGCTCTAAAAGTATTACTATTTTATGTGTCATTTTGCCCACCCACCACCAACTGTTTGAAATTTTGGCACTTTAGAAGAAATAAAGTAAGGAAAAAGATACGTTAACAGCAAAATTAGTGTCTTTGAATCTGTTGTCAAACTTGATCCCCTTTCTGGAAGAATGTAGTCTTACAACATAGGCCCTTAATCAAGATTGGTTTAAAATTTTGCTATAGTTCAACTCATGTATAAAAGTTATATTAGCAGTGAAGATCAGAAATCTTCCTGGAAAAGGAGTGGATAGGGGAAAAGTAAATGTGTTGCACAGTACACAAAGGAAAAAATAAGAAGACAATAATGACAAAGGCACTGATTTTTTTCTCTTCTGAGCAAAATTTATATTAAATTATGTAGTGAAATTTGAGTTTCTCTGATCTATTTGCTCACTAATAAAATGTATACTACTTGAGATTATTTAAGACAACTATATCCTAGTAAAATGGTATTAGTAAACTCTCCTACTGTTAACCATCAAAAAGCTCCACTTTGTCCTGTATAATTTATTATCAATTTTCCAAATAATAGGCTGTTCCAGCAGAAGTATGTCTTACAAGTATAATACTATTATAATGGTAGAAATTTTGCCAATGGAAAGGCAAGAAAAGTAGTGCCCCTAGTATTATTGAAATGGAGACCTAGATGTCTTTAAAAACACTTTTAAAATGCTTACTATTAAAAAATGTATACAACAGTATATTACAAATTAAATCTTCAGCACAGCAAGATTTTAGGAAACAGTTATTACCTTTAAGAATACACTAGGAACTTTAAGAGATTCCTTCCTGAAGTTTAGCAAATACCTTAGAATTTCTTCTTCAAGAAATTATTTTACTTAATCAACAAAGTTTAATGATTTCATTTTATTTCTACCCACTTGAAATTGATTCCTACAAAATACCCCTTCTGGTGGGGGAGGGTAAACAGCTAAAACTAACTGCCAGGATAAATTGGCCAGAATGATTTGGCACATATCCTGAGTTTGCCATGAAAACATGTATCTGTGTGTCAGCTGCACACAAAGGCTATCTGGCCCCAGAAAAAGCACAGGGATTAGCCATAATGCTGCCTATTTGAGACAAAGGGTGTTCCTTAGTGCAGTGAGGGTAAAACAGACAGCTCATCAGTAGTACAAGTCTATCTGAATTATTTAGTTACCATTTTGAGCCAGAAGGAAATGGTGGCAGATTATTAATGACTTTTGGGGTCTATTCATCTCTTTATTTTGTTTCAGTGAAAGCAGTACTGGAAACATGAAAAGGTGCCAAAATTTGAGACCAGTTTTACTTTAATCACTTACAAGATATAGAATCACTTTCTTATTTCACTGCTGGTTGAAAAATAGAACAGATTTTGATTTATATTTCACTTACACTTATGAGATGGCTATTTATGTTTGTAAGTGGGTGCATGACCAAAGTGAATGGAACAACTCATGTGCTCTAGAAAATAGAAGTCCATGGATCTACTGGATGAAAACGGTTTTATTGATTTCAAGGGGGTTTAAGTCATTCAATACAAAATACTTCGGGGAAAAATAGTGAAGAGAGTAAAGAAACTATATAAAAGATATTAACATAGACTGCAGTGCATTCTTGCAATAAGACAGATTCTTGTCATATTCCAGTGATGGGAAATTTGAATTAATTTTGCATAGAAATATTTATGCATATGTAATAAGAATATATATATAAAAGAGTATTTATGAAGATATATTTTTTCATTTCTAATTAACCATATATGAACAAAATAACAGCTGATATGTCATTTAAAATTTGACAGTTGTAAAAATGAAGATTAAGGATGCAGTTTCCAATAATTTAAAATCACAAGTTAAGATTATCCATGTGTTATGTTGATAATAAACAGATCCAAATAAGGTATTATATAAATTCCACATTATATTTATAAAAAAGGCTGATTATTTTTCGTGTGCAATTTTTCTAGAATATTTTTGTTGTAATATTTTAGCCAAGTAGGAGGACTCCTGATTCAAAATTTCTAAATATGTGTATTTTTATTTTCACTCTTATTTTCATTTAAAGGTTCAGGTTGCCTCCTCTAGGACAGAAGAAATGTCATATGTTGAAACAGTAAAAATAAAATCGCTGCAGAACTGAATCATTGCAACTGAGATGAAAAATTAAAAAAAAAAAAAAATTACAAAAAACCCCCAGAAATAGGATCATAGTGCATTAGCAACAATGCTTGCAGATTCATCATGGCTCACAACAAAGGTATTTATAAGTGGACCTCCTGCCTCTGTTGCATGCTGTCATTGCTTTGGATTGACTGCTGTTAGATCCCTGTAATCCTGAGCCCCGGGATCTTGTCCTACATGTTTACCAGACTTGGTATGCATGTCAGTACGTATTTAAAATGGAAATGAACTCTAATCTTTGTACGTGTTAATAGAAAAGGGTTTTAATCTCCTAAACCCCATATTTACTGTGGTTTTGTTTTGTTGTTTGGATTTTTTAAAATAAAGTTTATAAAAGGCTGTGTTCAGAATTTCTGCTTCTATTTGTTAGTTTATCAACTTAAGTTTGGTTAATATTTGGGATTTCTTAACTCAATAGTGTGTCATGGCAATAATATTATGGAATATATTCAAAGATGAGGAGAAGAATACATTAACAACAACTACTGGTCTAAAAATCACAGTTTAATAATGGAAAGTCTTGTCAACTTTCTTATCTGTAATGCACTTGTAAGAATATAATTTCATATTTTAGAAGACTCATATTACAGATATAGAAATAATATATGATTGTCATTTACTTGTGAGACTATGTTGTCATGTAGATGTTACATGGAGATTAAAATCTAAATATTATCTAATTTAGAAAAGATTCATTAAAACTATCATATCCTATTCCACTTGAAAATGCGTTGTTGACAACAGATGAAAAATAATGCACTTCCTTTGAAAGTGGTAAAAAAAAGTCATCAATATAGTTATTTCCAGTCCTCTCTTCTGTAAGAAAATTCATGTTTGCAGTTCTTGTACCCAAAGTACATCTAGGATCTTTGTGAAAATTCCTGCTATTTCCATATTATTATTGTTATTTATAAATATTTGCATCATCCAGCTGCTCCTCCAAACTTGATTTCATGACCATTTCTCTAGGAACCCTTTCCCAGTGACTGACCAACATCTCAGTGAAGCACTTTTTCCTGATCTGGTTCTGGTCATAACTTTCCCTGATGGAGCTTCATTCCATTTCCTCATGTCCTATCACCAGTCACCAGTGAGAACAGATCAGCACCTTACCCTCTATTGCTCTTCTTGAGGAAGTTGGAGACTGACATGAGGTCTTCCCTCAGCCTTTTCTTCTCCAAGCTCCAACAAACCAAGTGACCCTGGCTGCTCCTCTCTGCCTTTCACCATCTTGGTCAACCTTTTCTGAATGCTCCCTAAATAGTCTCATGGTCTTCTTATGTCAAGGACAATAATATAAAGGTGAATTCACCGGAGCAATTTTGTACAGCGGTGTGATATTATAAGGACACTTTTTCTTAAGAGCCAAATGGAACATGTAACTCCACCTGGATAGAACCTTGTTCCTGGCATAAATTTATTGACATCACTAGGCTGTTATTAGGGAAATGGATCTTCCATGTGAGAAAATGTGTTTTAAATTTATAAAACTTTTAATTTTTGTCTAATAAAAGCAGTTTCAGCACATTCCAGTCTGTTTTATTGATTTTGAGATTACTTTTGGAACTAAAGCTGATGTAAAGAATACATCAGCCAACTCAGTCAAAACCCCCACTTTTAATATCTGTAATCTAGTGTGTAAGGTTATTTCCCAAGTTAAAGTAACAAACTGATAAACTAAGAATGCATTAGACACAGAAAGAGTGCACAAAATATGATATTGATTTCATTAAAACATTATGATTCTAATCTAACATCATAGGCAATCAGTAAAGCTATTTTTTAAGCAAAACATGCAAGTATTGAAATTCTTAGAGCAAAAATATCTTTGCTTTGTTCCAAATATTTTTCATTTTAAAGTAAATGTGTTAACAGAAATGGGACTGTAATTTGAAAGTTTAGCTAAGTTTAAATAGCAATAGAATAGTCATTCCAGCATGCTGTACTATTTAATGTTAATTCCTCCTGCTTATCCCCCAAGTTAACTTACTGTGCTCCTTTAAGAATTTCACATATTATAAAGATGAAACATTTGGTACAACTTTTAACATTTTAAGAATACAATAGAAGATAATGATTCTAGGAAATTAATATGTCAAGGATTTTTTTTAATTTTTTGTGTCTAACTGTAGTAGTCACAATTTAAGCAGTAGTCACAAATGGTTCAACCAAATTCAAAGGTATTTTTCTATATCAAACCCTGAAAGATTTTGCTCAGTTATGCAAATGCTCATTCACTTGAGTACTCTTTATTCATATATGTGATCATATTCAACACAATTTTTACAATTAATCAAAACACTGAAGTGTTGCAAAAAGAGTACCTTCTCTGTTCTTGTGTTTTTGCACAATTTTTATACATGCAAATATCCTGAAGAAGCTATTTAAACTATTATGTGATACATGCCTGTAAAACATTTTGTGTTCCTATTTCTACAACAATATACATTATTTTTAATCATTATAATCTGAAGTTTTATTGTTCTTGAAATACTGCTTTGTAAAACAGATTTCTTATATTTACAATATTACTTTGCAAATGTATAGAAAATATCAATGCCTCAAACTTCTGTATTTTTCAAGTCTGACTTTTGTTAATTATCTTTTGGATTTTGTGGATAAATTATTCATTATTACATTGTCATAATGTGGGGGGAACTGGATTTCACTATCTCCAAAGATTATGCATTATATCAAAATGGATTACTTAAAACTGATTGAAAGCCATTTCTCTTCTTGTTGCAATTGTCACATTAGTGAAAGAAAACAGTCAGCATTCCATGAACATTTTATTTCTTTAGAATCTCTAAGATTTCCCAGGAGAATAAATCATATAATCAAGCAAAAGCGCTTGGTGTGATCAATTCTGCAACACTGCGTTATATTTCTGTAAAGTCATTCATGAAAGAATTAACTGTGTCCATGTGATTCATATCTTAATAAAACATATGATGACAGCAGGCATTGGTCATGGAAGTATGAACATTATTTTATTGTGATTGTTGTCAATATCCAATTTGATGAAATGAACATTCTGGGTAAATCCAGCCACCTGAGAATGAAAATAAATAAGCATATCACTTGTGTTTGGTGAATTTCAGTTTTATTAAAAATTTCAAGGATATGAATTACATTTTAATGACCAAAATCTTTAAATTAAAAGAAAAATAAATCTTCTATTAAAATGCAACTATGTGCATCTAAGTGAGCTTATACCTGTGTACACACAAATAAAACACATGTATATGAATGATGTACATACCTTGTGTATGTCAGTATATAAATGTTTATGTTGTATTCATCCATAGAATCACACAGCAATTTTGAGCCCTCTAGTGGTAAGAAACCTCTCTGTTAAGAAACCATTAATCTAAGCCTAAGTATATCCACTCTAAGAGGCAAGTTTCTAAACGTCTACAATATGATTATGTCTTCATGCAAGTTCAGGATAGCTCCCTCCAGTTGTCATGGGTGTGTACATACAAATGTTAACAACAACATAGGTCTGCGAATCATGTTATTGTTTACAGCATGGTAACTTTTCTGCCTTTTCTCTGTTAAAAAAAATAAAGATCTATTCTGTATTCTTTTGACACATTATTGATAATTTGTGATACTTGTTTAAAAATCAACAGACAGAAAAACAAAACCCCAAAAAACAAAAGAAACAAAAAATCCCACTCAGTCTCCTGACACAAACACTGTCTAATAAAAGGCAAATGTTTTCAAATACAGTATCCTCATTGTCAACCTTACATTATGTAGCTACACATGTAGCTACTACAGGGAAAGGAGGAAAAAAAATCTTCATTTCTGATTGGGGAACTTTTCACAATATCTAACTTCAGCCATCTCACAGCTAGGTTTCTAGGCTAAGATGGTTGTTTGTGCTCACCTTGCTGTCACTGGAGACAAATAGGTTGTTTGAGAATGAGTTGTCTTGTAAAGGTGCCTGGGAGAGAGCTGGAAGATAGGTGAAATATTTATGGATGCAAGGGTCTCTCCATTCTTCAAGGAGACCTAGATAGCAAACTTGGAGCTATGTTTTCTTTTTTATAAGGCTGAAAAAAATATTATATAAAACGCCTAGATTTGAACAACATTAAATAACACAAAAATAAATACTATTGTTTATAGCAATATTTATAATATGCAATATCATACTATATAATTAACATATATATACCATATATATAACATGCAGTATCATACTTTAAGATGTAATACAATATTAATTAATATGTATATTATTATATTAATAATTAAGTCTCAGGTTAATCTACTTCATGGCAAAACCATTCTGTAAGATTACTACTACTTTGAGGAAACTCCAGAATAACATTCAGAAATGGTTTTTTCCTGGTGAAGGATAGATTTGATGGGCTCCAGAGATAAAATTTGCTTTAATTTTCCTCTTGGACTCGGTTTAAATATTTGTTCTGGATGACCATCCGTACCTGAGACCTTATGAATTCTGCAGCTGACCTTCAGGAAATTTCTTCAAGAACAAAGGAGCACCGCTATTCAGTGTGGTAAATTTCTAAGCTTTTTTCAGGGAAATCTTACCAGGAGGATCTTAACTATAGTATTCATTCCCTCTGTCCAGAGTCCCATAATCACAAAACTTGTTGACTCTCAAGAATATTGAAAGTGTAATTGACATGGGCTTTTATTCTTGTATGTGATAGTATTCAACACAATTCAGAGATGAATATCTGTGTTTCAGGGATTATTTAATTAAAAACTTATTCATTATTTTATTATTGTAATTTGTTATGTGACAAGAGCTTAGAACAGGAAAATTACATAAGTTGTAAGCAATTAATTCTCATTTTAAAAAACCAAAATAACATTTTTTTTCAATATACTAAATCAATTCAAATATAATATTTTTCAGTTGCTTGTTTGTTTATTTTTGACATCTATCAAAATTTTATAATTAATGATACAGAAATTAACTCCTAAAAGGGAATATTTTCATTGGATGCATGCAAAATTTGTACAAGTTGATTTTTTTGTTGCAGATTATCTAGGCAAAACATGCAAGAGAACATAATTTTTGTGTGTGATAGCAGTCCACTTCAGGCAAGTACTGTGGAATAAGGTTGGAATATAGTTCCAGCATGCAAGGTTATGATTATCACAAAGACTGGAGTAGGGTTATGCCTCACAGAAGAAAACACTGGTGGCTTCAAAAGGTGAACATTTTACAGAACTGCAGAATGGGTCAGGTCGGAAGGAACCACAGTGGTCATCTTGTCCAACCTCCTTGCTCAAGCAAGATCATCATAGAGCACGTGGCACAGGATTGTCTCCAGATGGTTCTTGAATATCTGCAGTGAGGGAGACTCCACAACCTCCCCAGACAATCTGTTCCAGTGCTTGGTCACTCTCACAGTAAGGAAGCTCATCCTCATATCCTGGTGGAACTTCCTGTGCATCAGTTTCTGCCCATTGCTTTTTGTCCAATTGTTTGGCAGCACCAAGAAGAGCCTTTCGATAAGAATACTCAACATTATTATGTGACTTGAAATGCTAGGGGGAAAATAAATTATAAGTTAAACCATTGCACTTTTCTTGTTTAAAAATCCATTTTCTAGTAGAAATTAAAGAGTCAGGAATGTAATACAATTTATCAGTGCTATGCTTGGCATAAACAATCCTAAATTCATAATTCAAAAATCAGATGTTATTGCTCAGTTATGAAATCTTTATAGCAGTAGTATATGATGTCTTGATAAAAGTATTAGTAGGCAAAATAATCTTAATTTTCTCCAAGGAGGTATAGCAATTGCTTTGGTATGAGTAAAATATAATGATAAAGAGGTTTTAATGGGTGCTTAAGCAATCAGGATTTCTTGATGGCAGACCAGTGAAAGAGGAAATTAAATTTAAAGAGTGCTGGTGCAAAGTCATCAAACCAAGTTGTACTTCCGTATCTTTTGTAGCTGACATCACTATTATCCTTTGTGCATCTTGCAGAAATTATTTCATCAGGTCTACCATAGACTAAGATACTATTCATTGATGTGTCACAGGGAACAACAATCTCCCTATGTGGAAAATCACACTTCATATGCTGCACAAAGACAAAATAATTTTAGCACCTTAAAAACACAATTTAAAAAACTGCCACCAAATGAGCGTGGTTGAGAATATAAACTGTACACCAGAGAAAAAAAGAAAAAGACAACAAAAATTCAGTTTCCATCCTCTAGTATGTACTACATCCTAAAGCTTCAGTCACGCGTTTAAAAGACACATTCACAGCAACAGCTAAACAAAGCGTGCGTTCAATTGCTGTATGGGCCAGTTACTTAGAATTTGAACTTGGTGATCCTTGCAGGTCCCTTCCAATACTGTGATTCTATGATTCTTGCCACACAAGGCTGATTAATAAGGGTGGGAAAGGGCAGTCTGTTCTTGCGACTTCATTACTTAGGTAACAGGTGCTGGAGTAGATCTCGAAAAGTATCCCTCTTGTTCTCCCATTGTCTGGAAACAAATACACAGGCCATAATAGGCAACTGAGAAATAGATTGTCTCTACTCTTCAATGTTGTGTCCATTGTCCAGTAAGCCTAGCAAGGAAACAACAGGATTTTATGATGTAAGGCACAAGTTTCACAGTGTCTCTACAACCTCTAATATTAAATGGGGTCAAGACTTCATCTGAAAAACTTGAAGTGAATGCCTTTCAAAGAGATTACTGGTATGCTTTTCTATTATAAGAATTTATACTGTAGTGTGCAGAATCATAACTAATATGAAACAACTCACTTCAAGCTCCAAAACAATTGCCGTCTAAGATTATGAGAGGATCCCTCTGTGACTATCATCATATGATACACTAGCTGTACCTTCCTGAAAGAGCTAGTTCTTCACTATTAGTAGCTGAATAATAGTTTTTGAGGACTGCTATTCTCTTCTACTGCTTCAATTTCTTCATGTCATTAATGGCCAGGAGAGATCATCTACATTTAAAAAAGAAAAAAGAGGAAGAGGTTCCCAAACAAAAAGGTGTTTCTGCATTGGGATTGAATTCCTCTGTTACATTTATAGGTCTCTTTCTTTGATATTTGAGAACTGAGTTATCAGACATTTTTGTAGTTCACTTATAGATGTGCAGAAGTAATCATACCACAACAAGGGAAATTTTTAAAAAGATACTCAAAAGCCTTATCATTAAAAACCAGTAAGCAACATCTTGTGTGAAATATTCATAGAATCATAGAATGTCCTGGGTTGGAAGGAACCTTAAAAGATCATCTGGTTCCAATCCTCTGCTATGGACAGGGACATCTTTCACTACATCGGGTTATTCAGACCCCCATCCAGCCTGGCTTTATACACTTACAGAGATGGGGCATCCACAGCTTCTCTGGGCAGCCTCTTCCAGTGTCTCACCACCCTCACAGCAAACACCCTTTTTTTGTTTACTATCTAATCTAAACCTACTCTCAGTTTAAACCATTCCTCCTTGTCCTGTCATGCTCTTGTAAAAGATCTTTCTCCATTCGGGTACTGGAAGGCCACAATTAGGTCACCCCAAAGCCTTCTCTTTTCCAGGCTGAACAAACCCAATTATCTCAGTCTTTCCTTATAGGTGAGTAATCTTATTATATAATTTTAGAATATATCTGCTTGCCTTCTTATTGCATATATCCCTATGTACACATATCCATATGTTTGTTCCTAATGATGCCTATCGATTATCCATTTGATTTACATATTTTAGTATGACTTATACTTGCCAAAAAATAATTATATGCCCAACATCACAGCTCATCAAATTTTGCACTATGTTTTATCAAGCTAAGACAAAAACCCTCATATATATATCCTGAGTAAAAACTTAGAAAGCACCGAGCTTCCTGAAGACAAGATAAACAATTAGACTTGATAAACACTAGTGAACTGTCTCCATGATTAGAAGGAATGTAAAACTCCACAGCACTCTGCAAAGCAAGCTCAGCAGAAATCTTAGCAAAATGAATTGAAAAAAAACAATGATTTTCAGTTATATTTTCACAGTATCATAACTGTGTTCCTTTCTCTAAACAAAACCTATTCTATCCCCTAGACAAGAGAAAAAAATCAAGTCTTTAACCACAACACGTTAATGCAGATGTATGTTAAGTGAAACAAAACTTCTTGACTTTACAGCCTAAATTATGAGATATTATCGTATATGTTGCTGCTCTGAGATGCACAGATGAGATTATGGAAAGGAATAAAGTCTGCGACAACTTTAAAATTCTCTACTCTTCCTTATAAACCCAAAAGCATAATGAGGACTGAATTTTATCCTCAAAGACCAGAAAGAACATAATAATTATTCAGGGTAGCCCTCTATATTCTCCACTAGTAGAATATCTTCCACAAGCTGGGAATTACATCTCATTGTGCTTTAAGGAAACCATAACCATTCCAAGCCTTCCTATAATTCCATGTGTTATTTCTAGAAGAACTATCCTAATTTCAGTTCCCTGTAATTACTTTGTGTTCTGTTTCTGACTACATGATCAAAAAAACTCAGATATTCTGTCAGATATAAGTCCTACATTTAAAGACTTATACTCATTTATCAACCCAT